CTTCTTGGAAACCCTGTAGGGCAGTACTACTCTATCCTATAGGGTCCCTATGAGTCAGAATCGACTTGACTGCAATGGGTTTTTTATGCCTATGGTTATGGTCCCGTCTGGGAGTGAGCTATCTGTTATGATAATGAGGCAGAATTAGGTCATGTTAATGAAGATTAGGTTATGTTTGTTATGTTAATGAAGTAGGATTAGGGTGGGATGTATCTTGAGTCACTGCCTTTCACCTCTCTACAACAAATAAAAGCAGAGAGAAGCAAGCAGAGAGGGGGGACCTACTACCACCAAGAAAGAAGAGCTGGGAGTAGAACGTATCCATTGGACCCGGAGTTCCTGTGCTGAAAACCTCTTAGATCCAGGGGAAGACTGATGAGGACCTTACCCCATAGCGGACAAAGAGGGAAAGCCTTCCCCTGGAGTACTGATTTCGGACTTCTACCTTCCTAAACTGTCAGAATAAATTTCCGTTTGTTACAGCCATCCATTTGTGCAGCACTAGATAACTAAGACAACACCTAAACAATCTTGGAACATCTTGAGAAGTGATCAAAGATATTTATACTCAACCTGGAAGAAGTCAGCCTGACACTCGGTACCTTTGGTTGGGGTGGGGGGGGAATGAGTATGAACCAATACCGCAGATGTAATTTGAATGCACTTAAATTTTTTATGGGATGATGTAGCCAAGTATACATCCAGCTTATTCCTGAACTGGAATCAAATTAGAGAAACCTTTGAAGGAAAAGGGAATTCCTTGGTGGTGCAAACAGTTAACATGCTCAGCTGCTAAACAAAAGGTTGGTGGTTTGAGTCTACCCAGAAGCACCTTGGAAGAAAGGCCTGGCAATCTACTACTGACAAATCAGCCATTGAAAACCCTATGGAGCACAGTTCTACTGTGACACACTTGGGGTTACCATGAGTTGGGATTGACTCAATGGCAATTGATTTTTGGTTGAAGGAAAGAGTTAGTGGGTCAACAAAGTTGGAGTGCCTACCGTGTACCTGACACTTACGCCTTACGGCTTTTGTGAAATGCTGTTGCTTTATCAAAGCAATAAATTCTGAGTGATCTTTCCTGCAGGACTTCTGGTCAGAGATTACACCCACATGAAGCATAACAAGGAAGGCTCAGAGGACTTTCCTGTGGCTCCTTCAAAAACAGAGATTTTAGATCTTAGCTCTTGTAGAGTTTTGAGCTAATCCCCCTAGCCTATATATGGAATCAGATGGCATTAAGGATGCAGATAGATTGAATATTCTGAAATTTATCTTTGGTATTTTCAAAACTCAGAGAACTAGTGTGGTGTGGCAGGCATCCTCATCGGTCTGGTATTTCACCTGTCATCTTAAACAAGGTAAACAAACCACAGACATATTTTTCTTCCCCGCAAAACTGCATCCTTTTTCAAGATTAGGACTGGGTACTGTTTGTCAATAGGAATTGAGTAGAATGGAGGTAGAGGAGTATTTTTTATTCCACCTTCTTCTCAAATAGTTAAAGTGGAAGAAGGAGTAGGTAGTTGGCTACCTTTCACATTTGTCCACTCATTTCTATTCCTGCCACCCAGATGCAGGCCTTGATGATGCTTTTCTTAGGCCACTATAGTTGACATTTCCTCCCAGTCCATCTTCGTGTGATTGGAGGTGCTTAGATTCCCAAAGGAGGCTCTGTGGCAGAGTAGATGGTCTACGCTCTGCCATCTCCATGGTTTGTGTGTGTGTCAAATGGGCTATACAAGCTGAGGGTGGAAATGGAAGTGCTGGAGAGATGAGGATGGCAGGAGAGAGAAACCTCAATGAGGAGATCTTCAATAAAATACCCGTTTCTTGTTGGTGCATTATGGAGTTGAATCTCTTTGGTGGGGGATTCATTCATTCAACCAATAATTGTT